CATAATAGCTTAATAACAGTCATTGTAACAAACCAAAGTTCTGTTCATGGGTTGTAAACACACGAAACGTGTGTGTAGTACAATAGTAAATGCATGAACTAGTACCTGTTTGGTAGAAAATTGCACGAACCGTGAGCCTGGTATGTCAGGGAAACAAAACGAAATGAGCAGTGAGATTCGAAATGCACGCACAGAATTGCCTAGTATGTTTAGGCAATTGAAACAGAATGTGTTCCCGTTTGGGAGTATGCTAATGCTCGAAATGAGCCAGTGACAGATATAAACAAGTGAGTTTAAACGAATGATATGCATGAACATGCAATGGTTTTAGGACAGATTTAGACAAAATGCAGCCGTAAAGTGAGGACCTGACCCGTGCATGGTGCCGTGGGACTGATGCCTGGCGTAACGGGTAGGTCGACTTACGGTTTGTGAGTCACTTGGACACCATCCACAGCAATAGATTGAAGAAAGAAGGTGGTAGGCCGGAAAAGCCTGTGGCTGAATTCCTGACACAGCTCTGCTTAGAAAACCTCATGGAGAAATCAGGTAAAATGGCGTCTGGATGACCCGGAAGTGGAAATCATTCTGATGCTGACCTCAAGCGATATGAGTCAGGTAAGGGGTGTCCCTTATATAGGGGAGTGAATTAATTTAAGCCCCTCCCACAAATACAGGCCAAATGGCCTTAAAACATATATATCTTTGCAATCAAGTATCAGCACTCTCGGAATTTAAAAGTCCAAAATGTATTAGTATAAAATTAAAAAACGATCGTTTCAGGCCTACATAGAGGACTTTCATCAGGATCAAAGTATAAATACATACTAAACATACATTGTATGTTTATTATACTAATACAATTTGGACTTTTTTTATTTTTAATTCTTTATTTTGCAGTGAGAAACTTCCCACTGGTTTTAATGGTAGTGTGCAATCATTCATTACAAAGGAATAAAAGAAATACAAATTAAACATCACATTAGGTAATAATAAACATGAGTCTCTGTTGATTGAGCATGTTATCTTTTCTAGTGCGCTCAGTGACAAGTACGGGGAGGGGGCGGTGAGGACCCAGGTCAGTATTTCGCACCAGCTGTTCCTGCAGGCGCAGGGTAAGCTTTTGGCTTTCCGTTCTGGTTCGGGCTTAACAAGTTGGTTTCACTTTTCAGCAGCTCTATCGGGCTTAAGGGTAGCAACACGGTATAGCTCTCTTTCGGCTCATGAAGGCTTAGGGTTAACGCAATTAATGTGTCTTGCCAGATGGTCAACCGGGCTTAGGACGCGCAGCTTGGTATAGCAAACTAACAGCTCAAGGGAGGGTTTGTTTATTTGGTTCAACGTGTTGGCAGCTTGGGCGTACTCAAAGAGGGACGTGTAGCACTTCCCGTGGGCTACCCCTGTAGGGGTAAAACCTACTGGCTGCTCATGTGAGTTTTCTAAATAATAAGAACAAAAATAGGAAAATAAATGACTGAAGTACATCCCGTCGGTAACCCCTATAAGGTCAATGGTGTAGCACTTTGGTTGGGAGTATTAACCTCTTGTGGGGTCTTAATGTGTCTATTGGTATCATGTATTAACCGCTCTCGTAAAGTTAGAGTGTACACCTTGGCAAACTGTGGCGATAGCACATATTAAGATGGAGTACACTCCTCAGTAACATTTGTTCTCTTCATTCATGGAGTAAGAGTATTCATATGTAAGGGCAACAGAGTAGTATAACAGCGTGGTATTAAATTATCAGTACAAGACTACCGTCGGAGGAGCACAATCATGAGGGTTGGGGTAATGAGCCCCGCATTGCCATGGATAAATTTGCAGACATTTCAGAGACAGTCATTATTAATAAGCAAGAGTCCTGACATTCAAGGAGGGTGGCATCTGGTTGCATGGCAGGAGGTAATATATAACATAATATATTATAATAATAGTGATGTTAACAGTTTCTACAATACCCATGGGCTAGCGGAGCAGTTATTGTGTCCCTGAGGTGGTATCTCCGGTAATATTTGTTGTTGTCCCTTTCCCCCGCTCTTCCCCCTTTCCCTCTTTCCCATCTCTAGGGTGTAAAAGAGTGGAGCTATTGGTCAGTAGGTGCAGGAATATATAAAAAGGAAAAACGAAAAAACACTTTGGAGTCTCTTACGTATCTTTCATAATACAGGTTTAGCAATCAGTCTGGGCATATGGTCTGTAGACTTGGGCCTTATGTGCCTATCTCGTCCGTGTAGTTCGCTTGCGGTGAAAGTCATGAGTTAGTCATTTGCCCGTTCAGGTCTCTGGGTAGTTGTGCGAGTGCTGTCTGCTTCGTTTCCTCTCCGCCCTAGTGTTTCTCCCCCGGTTTTTGGTCTCCTGGTTCTCTGTCTCTCCCGCCCCGTCCATGGGCACTTGCTGCTGCAGTTGGAGGGCCTGGATAAATCCTGCAGGGTCTTCGTCTGCGGACAGTGTGAGGATCGAGTCCTTTTGTGGGACCACCACTGTGGCTGCTGCTCCCCATCAATATCTGATTCCTTTGTCTCTGAGTTGGCAGGTGATCGGTGTGAATTTCCTCCGCTCGAGTAGAATTGTGAATGGGATGGCAGCGAAAACTTTCACGTGGTGGTTGTCCACGGTGATGGTGGGGGTCTTCTTGGAGTAGGCCATCAGCGCTGCTTTAACTTTGACATTTTGGGTAACAGCTATAATGTCTCTCGAGGCATCCGCTGGGGCAGTCGGGGATTTCCGGATTCCGTTAACGGCTTGTGTCCCTGTCTGTTTTCACCCCCATTGTCACTGCCACTTTGTTTTTGTAAGCCAATAAGGCCTCTGGGCCTATGTCTTCAGGGGCTCCACGTATGTGGACATTTCGTTTGCAGTGGCATGTTTCTATCGCCGTAACCGAGCGCTTGAGCCCCTGGAGTTTGAGTGTCAGAGCGTCCACTTGCCTTCTGGTATCTGCCAGTGAGTCGTCTCTTTTACCCTCTCGGGTTTCTATTGCATCCAGGCGCCCCTTCGTGCCAGTAACCTCCGTCCTCACACCGGCCAGATTTGATTTCCACATCTCCTGGAGATCTAGGAGGAGCTTCTTGATATCACCTTTTGTTGAAGGTGAGTCGTCCGAGTCAAACGTCTCCGACCCATATAATGCAGTTGTCGGGGTTGTGGTCTGGGAGTTCTCCCTCTCCATGGACAAGTCAGATTCGCTGTCGCTTCGGGGCCTACTCAGCGCCATTTTGGCCTGTGGAGCTTGCTGCGGCCTTTCAAAGGATTGCCTAATGTCAGGCTGGTGGGAGCTCTCTGGGCGGGCAGTTTTCTTATTCCCCCCCCCTCTCTGTAGGGGGTCTAGTGCTTGTTGCTGCTTGTTTTTTGGGTCTCGGTTCAGCGTTTTTGTGGCTTTTTGGGTCAATTTTAGATTAGGGAAGCAGGAGCTCCACATAAACACATCCAGTGTGCTGCTCTGCTAGCCACGCCCCCCCATAAGTTTTGAACTTTTAATTTCCGAGAGTGCTGATACCTGATTGCAAAGATGGATACTACTGGCCATGGTTTGCTAGCACCTGGTCATTAAGGGACTTTACAGCGTGAGTGCAAGAGCAATTTCTCTTATATATATACATACATACTTATATGTAGATAAAAAAAAAAAAAAAAAAGAAATGTTCCATGAGTTTTTTCTTAGTATGAACAGGAAATACTAAATTTAGACAATACGATAAAGGATAGAAATACATATAAATATATATTACATTCATGGTTTGATCAATTACAAAACACTCACTTAAATTAATACATAAATACATAAGACACAAAAGGAAGTATAAACACCCTACATAATGGTGGATAACTACCGAAACTGATACTACACAAAATGTAGATTAAACACAAGTATACAACAGGCAATGAGTTAAGAAGGGGAAAAGAAAAAGAGAGGCTATTATTATTTTTATTTTATATTCATTTTAAAAAAAAATATTATTCTGCCTCTGTAGCTTTTTAAAAAGGCTTCCTTTAGAAAGTCCATCCTCAGAACACACTTCCCACACGGTTCGTGGTCCATCGAGGTATTGTATGGCGGAGGATTTACACAAAGTCTTTGTCTAACGTTGAGTCCATCATTCGGTCTTTTTTTTATGTAATTGTAAAGAAAAGTCATTTTCCGTTGTTTAACAGACCCAGGGTGTTAGTTGGAGAGAGAGAGCCCAAAGAATGTTTAAAAACCTACAATTTAAGGTAGTTTCAATAAATGCCCGTGAGATCAACATGCCTAGCAAAATGTTTATAATTTTAGATTTCTTGATTAAAAATCGGATACAAATGTGTGCGCTACAAGAAACTCACTGGGAAAAATCTAACAATAATACAATTAGCTCAGCAAAATACCCCATTATTATAAGTGCTGCTCTGAAAAAAAAAAAAAAAAGAGGTATGGCCTTCATGTTTGCCAAACATTTCTCCCTAAATATTAAATATCAATAATTAGATCCAGAAGGCCGATATATTATTTTAGTATGTGAAATAAATAATAAGTTATTTACACTAGTTAATATTTATGCACCAAACAAGTTTACAATAAATTTTATTGCAAAAGTGTTTAATAAAGTAGAGCAAATTCGGGGGCGGAGCCTGACTACTGAGCGGACCAGACGTACATTGTGGGGGCTCCCGAGTCTGAAGCTAAGATTCTGGGTTTATCGCACGACCACCCGAGCGCACCGACTGCTGAACACAATATTCGGGACAAGGAGACTGCACTGCACCCGGGGATACCCGTCACTTGGGTCTCCGGTGCGAGACAGACCAAATCGAGACCGGTGGCCTGTGCGGGTGGGAGCCGTGGAGAGACGGCCGCTCTCCCGGTTCTCTGGCTGACAAAGGGGCACTCTCAAACCACTTCCCTCCCCCCCCATGTGGACCGGTGGGGGTCATCCCGGTCCTCGAGTACCTAGGCTGCCTTCAGCGCGGACGCTCCTGTGAGCCCTGCAGAACTCCCAAGCCACATGGCGCCAGAGATATCCAAGATGGCGGAGGCACCAAGCTCTGCAACACGAGGCTGGACATTGCTGAAGCCTGATTTAGTAAGCCCTAAAGCCACAGCTACAAACACTTTGGGAGCCATATTTGACGACTTTTGGGCCATGCTGCTCGACAGGGCAAGGCAAGTGAAAGCCACACAGGAGCCTGACAAGGGAGACCAAGCATGCAACCTGGAGCGGCCTGAGAGGCTGCCTACAAGCAGACAAACATCCCGCACTACTCCACTAACACAGAGGCGACGCAAGCTGCGGACACAGCGCTACCGGCTGAGACACCGAGATGCGGACAGACGTCCTGCCCGCTGCCGTAAAACACCAAGTCCCAAAGCGCCACGACCGGTTCTAAGCAACATACCGAAACCAATGTGGTCACCTCCAGGCCGCCCCCCATGCCGCCCTAGGCTGGGCAACCCCTTACCAAGTGAGAGAGCTGCCGCCTGGATGACCACCAACGTGCTGGACAGTCCGGTAAACCCAGTGGGCATTGGCTGAAGGGGGCCAGTCTGAGGGACATGTGGGGCAAGGGCCATGCCTATACAATATACCAGCACATGGGACATGGTAACAGCAAGTCAACTAAGGCTCCGATATCCACACTCTGAACGTGCATAGTTCATACTTATAGTTTAATAGCTTTGATATATGATTTCTTAAGCGCTCTCCTTTCACATGCATTATCTCAATTTGCCTAAGGGCCCATAACCCCTCTCAGTAGGTTTCACCTGCGATTAGCGGCCAACCATTAAATACCTCACTCGGTATACGTGGGGATAATGTAACCTACAAAGAAAAAGCGCAGTAAATCTAATATGTGCTATACTCTCTTAACTAATATTCGCAGTGATAAATTGCAACGCAGGGGATTCTGCTACAAAGGCCTCGTAGGCTTAGCACTATATTTTTGAACCCACGTACATGAGCCCAGCGCTCAGACGCGCTGGGAGTACTCTCCCAGACACCAACATGACGCAAGCTTGCCCTGACTAGATTGCCTAACAGAGGGGGACCCACACGAGTCCCCTGCTGTACAGCGTGGTGTCAGTGTGAGACTGGCTTGGTTTTTTTTGGGGGTTTTTTGACGCCCCTAAACCTGAAGCGGAGTCGGTTAACCTAGCCGCACGGATGTCTTGATATAATAATGTTGTAATGTTGATAATATGTTGTACACGCAGCCATAACTGGGAGCAGCCCTTGGGTCCTCAACCACACAAACGCAGTCGAACCGAATAGTACATCCCTAGACATGTTGAACTAGCCTGTTACCCATTTGTTCAGTATTTTTATTTTGTTTTAGAATTTGTGTTGATTCAGCGAATTGTTCAGCTAATGATCTTAAGCAGCGCACAGACAAGATGTGACTCAGCTAAGCATGCGACCCCATAATACTTCAATAATGCCAGCTTGTTTATGCTAAATGTATAACCTGCCTCCCATATCTCCTAGCTGACATGTTGACTCCACTCTTGACAAATCTACATTAATATATAAAATGTGCAATGTTCTATTATGCCAAACAATTGTCTCTAATATGTTGATCATTTCACTTGCAATCGCTGTTGTGGCATTGCTTGTTGCTATGTACCTTTTTTTGCACGAAAAAAAAAAAAGTAGAGCAAATTCAGCAAGGACTGACATTAATTATGGGGGATTTTAACAGTGTGATTGATCCATTAAAAGATAGAAAGTCAGAGTGATAAAAAAAATTAGGATACCAAATGAGGATAGATTGCAAAATTTACTGAACAGCTATAATTTAAGAGATATATGGAGAATTTTCCACCCTTCTGTTCTGGATTATACATGTTACTCTTAAACATATAACTCCTTTTCTAGAATAAACCTCATATTGGGAAATGTGAGCATGCTGTATCTTGTTATAGGAATAGAAATACAAGATATAACATGGTCAGACCATAGTCCAGTCCAATCATGTTAGAATATAAAGATATCTTTGACATCTTCCATAAAGAGTGGCGTTTGGGAGACCATATACAAAAAAAATAAAGTACCATCCCTCCAGGAACTATATATAAAACTAAGTGATTATAAAAAACTGAATAAATTAACACCTTCCACACAAACAGCAATTAAGAGTGCAGAAAAAGAAAAACAGATAAATATTCAGCTAACAAATAGAACAGCCAAAATGCTAAAACGATTCCAAGCCAAGTGGTATCTAAAAGGTAATAAACCAGAAGCATTAATGACCAATAAATTGAAAAAAGAAAGGCATAATAGAGTAATATATAAAATTGAGGAAAAAGAAACATATGTAATGGCCCCAGAAAAAAAGGAAGTGCATTTAAAAAATTCTACTGAGATTTATATAACTTACCAGAAGAACATTATGGGAGAGAAGAAGAAATTGAGAAATTCTTCAAGATATACAAAAATGATGTTAGTAAAGCAATAAAGAAGCTTAAATAAAGACCGCTCCAGGATTTACAAATACATTTTACAAATTAATTAAAGAACAGCTAAAAGGACAACTTACAAATATTTTTAATCTCATAATGGGATCAGGGAGATGTGCTGGGGAGTTACTAAGAGCGAATATAGTCCCTATAACAAAAGTGGACAAAGACCCTGAATCGATCAGCAATTATAGACCAATTTTGTAAATTAACACAGATATCAAAATACTTTATCTGAAAGGTAAACGATAGTAATGCCACAACTAATTAATAACAACCAAGTAGGATTTATCCCAGGGAGGTCCCCAATTAATAACATAAGGAAAATAATAAACATACTAGAAGAAAGAGACAACTGGAACCCTACTCTTGCTTTTATCAATAGACGCAGAAAAAGCATTTGATAGGGTGGGATGGGGTTTCATTTTTTGGCATTAATGGTCCAATACTACAGGCTATATTCGCTCTCTACGAGTCTCCATCAGCCAAAGTCATAGGGTCAGGATTTGTGACACAATACTTTACTATTAAAAATGGAACAAGACAAGAGTGTCCTCTTTACCCTTTACTATATATATAATGGTGCTAGAACCTCTAGCGATGTTAATAAGACAAAATCAGAAAATCAGAGGCTTTAAGGATCAGGTAGGACAATGGAAACTGAATATCTGTGCAGACAATATTAGTAACATCGGTCCCAAAATTACTGAAACAGATAGATAAATACTCTAAAGTTTCAGGATATAAGATTAATTTAGAGAAATCACTTTCTATAGCTAAAAATATGGATAAAATGTGCACCGATTTTCTTGTAAAAAATATTGGGCTCCTGGGAAAAAAAGACAGGCTGGAATATTTGGGAATAACTAAAACTTTGAATGTAAAAGATCTAATAGAAGCCAATTTGTTACCTTTATTAAAACAAACTAATAAAAACTTAAGGGATTGGAGAGGAATGGGTTTCTCATGGTCGGGAAGAATCAATATATTAAAAGCATACATTTTACCAAAATGGCTGTACCTAAGGAGAATGATCCCTCTTAATTTCCCAGAAAACTGGCTATCGTTATTATATTCAGCTTTTATAAAATTCATCTGGGGTGGTAAGAAAGCAAGAAAATGAAAAATTTAGCTAGGTTAAGACAAGATGGAGGCCTAGGTTGCCCAGAAATTTTACAATGTTATCAGGCCAGTAGATTATTTCATATACTGCTATCACAAAATAATGCAGCAGTTCACGAGACATGGTATAAAATGGAAAAAGCTAAAACAGGGATAGGGAATTTAAGTTCACTATTTTGGATTCTCAATCTTAATAGAAAACATATTAACGAGGTAAGAAGTAAATCACAGATACTTAAAGAATTAACGAGCTGGTGGGATAAATTTATAGCTAAAATAGGACCTAAGAATAGAATAATTGATGCACTTTCATTTTCTATCAATTCAAATATGTTAGATAATATAAAAATAGATCCTTGGAAGACTGGCGGGATAAGAATGCTTAGAGATATAATAGGGGAACAGAGAGAAATTTTCTATTTCAATGAATGAAACCTTTGGTTACTTGCAAATTAAAAGCTTTAGGGTAGAATGCCTCCTTAAAAGTAAAGAGAGAAAAGTGACTAGTCTCATCCACTTCTTTGAACTAAAAAAACATAAAAATCAGTTGACAAAATGTGTTAAGGTTATATATAAATGGAGACATGATAGACCCATAGAGCTGATCAAAAAATGGGAACAAGAACTACAAATACATATAGAGGAAGAAGATTGGATAAACTCCCAAAGTAAATTATATAAATATATATACTGTCTTACAGAAACACAATTTAAACTTTCAAATAGATACGTTTAATACAACGTTTAAAGAGAATTTACCCACAGACATCGGATAGGTACTGGAGATGTGATATTAACAAAGGCAACCTAATCCATATTTGGTGGCAATGCATACCCATAAACAATTATTGGAAAGATATAATAAAAGTAATACACCAAATAACTGAGATGAAATTACACTTGGAACCTGGAGTAATCTTATTAAATCTAGGATGGCCAATAATGAGAAAACAAGTATTAATGTTAATATTACACATTACAAACGCAGCCAAACTACTCTTAGCACGAAATTGGAAAACAAGAAAAATCCCAAGTATCAAAGAGGTAATATCACAAGTCATCTGGCAGATAAAAATGGAAAAAGGTATTTTAATGAATTTGGGAAAAAGATATATCCAGACAGAAGAGTGGGACATGTGGATAAAGAAAATGGAAACGCTAATCTAATAGTTACACAAATATGTAAGAAAGCTACCCAATAAATAACATAAAGAGACAAAAAGTTGACCCCGGAAAAAACGGCAAATAAATAAAAATTTAAAATTATACTAATAAAACAGTAAAGCAGATAGGATGTGATCTCTCTCTGCAAGAGACAAACAAATAAAGAAGGATGGAAATAATGGAATTTGTAATAGGATCTAAAAGAAAAATTGGGGGGAGGGTACAGGGTGGGGATAATTGGGAGTTAGATAAGGCTTAAAGAATTTAGTTTTCTCCCTCTTGCTTCCTTTGTCTTTCCCTATCAATGAACTTTAATAAGGAAAGAAGCGAACCCAAATCACTGTTTGGGAAGCTCAAGGGGAAGAAGGAAGGGAGAAAACATTAATGATCACAGAATACTAGTGCCTATACTACATATGTAATAACGTAATTATATAATGGCAGGTACAAGTCTGAAATGTTGTAAAATAAAAATATTCTATATGCTGAGCCAGGTTGGGGGAATGTTATTGGCGGGCTGGGGGAGTGATCCAGGGTGGGTTCGACTGTGTCCAGATTTTGCATAAATTTGCTGTATGATGTCCCAATAAAGATATTACTGTTGTACCCTTCGTCAAGTCTAGGCTGATGTTTGGGTAACCAAGAGCTCTAATTACTGATTCCCTTGTGATTTGGGAGCATTACAACGGATATACTCAGTCGGAGTATAGGAGATCCGTTTCAATGTGTTTATCACCTGCTCTGTAAATTGAACTTCAATCACACACAGGAGGCTACTGCAAGTTCTAGAAGTCTATTAACAGATAAGAAAATATAGATTAAAGAGACTGTACAGTACAGGAAGTGTTTAAAAAGGCTGCAAGTCACATGCAGGGAGGTGTGACCAGGACTGTGTAAATAAAGGGATTTAACCAGGGCTCGAGTCCTGCAGGAACGCATGGGAACGGCGTTCCTGCACTTTTTCCACAGCAGGAACGCCGTTCCCGTTACCTGTCCTGCAGGACCGGCCCTGCTACCTGCACTGAGGGGCCATCACACGCTGTGTTCCCTCTTCAGCTATAACTCTCGCGAGACCCGCGGCTGTTACCATGGCAACGCTCCGCAGAGGCGAGTCTCGCGAGAGTTAGAGCTGGAGAGGGAACACAGCGTGTGATGGCCCCTCTGTGCAGCGGCTGGCTTCCTCCACCCGGACCACCAGGCGATCTCCCCCCTCCCTGACAAGGTAAGAAGCAGGGAGGGGGGAATAAAATAAAAAAATATAGACACATAAAGTAAAAAAAAAAATGCTTCCCCTCCCCATCATCCAGCACACATACACTCACACACCCATCATCCAGCACTCACACACACATCATCCAGCACTCACACACATCATCCAGCACTCACACAAACACCCATCATCCAGCACACACACATCATCCCACACACACACACACATCATCCAGCACACACACCCATCATCCAGCACTCACACAAACACCCATCATCCAGCACTCACACAAACACCCATCATCCAGCACACACACACATCATCCAGCACTCACACACACATCATCCAGCACTCACACACACATCATCCAGCACTCACACACCCATCATCCAGCACACACATCATCCAGCACTCACACACCCATCATCCAGCACACACACACCCATCATCCAGCACACACATCATCCAGCACTCACACACCCATCATCCAGCACACACACACACATCATCCAGCACACACACACACATCATCCAGCACACACACACACATCCATCATCCAGCACACACACACACATCATCCGGCACTCGCACACACATCATCCAGCACACACACACACGTCATCCAGCGCGCACACGCACACACTGCATTCATTATACACACTCTTCACTCACTACAAACACACTACATTCACTATACACCCTCTGCATTCACTATACACACTCTGCATTTATTATGCACATTCTGCACTCACTACACACTACATTCACTATGCACATTCTGCACTCACTACACACTACATTCACTATACACACTCTGCATTCACTACAAACACACTGCATTCAGTGTACACACTCTGCACTCACTAAAAACACACTGCATTCATTATACACACTCTGCATTCACTACAAACACACTACATTCATTATACACACCCTGCACTGCACTATATGCATAGGAGTGTAATTTTTTTTTATTTTTTTTTAAAGGGGGGGGGGGGACGGCGGGAATCTTGGGTGAGTTCCCACACTTTTTTCCCCAGGACTTGACCCCTGGATTTAACTCCTAAATGGCAAAGAATTGAGCAGTGAGACTGCATGAGCATTATCTATACACTGAAAAATGCTTCATTAAGCTAAAGTTGTTTTGGTGTCCCTTTAGTTTACAACCACACTCATGATGAGCAAACAATGCAGGGAGGTAAGCAAATTACTGTCCACAGTACTAGAACTATGATCAAATATCTCGGTTTAGTGTTACTCAATTTTATTATGATTGTTATGCTGCAGGAGGAACTAAGAATAGCTTGGTTGCCCCAAGTAACTTTTTCTCCCCACAAGTTGGAGTATATATTTTTATCATCTTACCATGTTATAGTGCCACTATGGAATGGTCTATCAAGTCCCTAGGCATACTCTAAAGTTATACTGCCCTGTGGTGTAAGCATGATTGTAGTCTGTATAGGCATTCCTTCATGCCTTCTTCAATACTATTTTTATGATATCAGATGAAGCTGGCAAAATGGACACTAAGCTTAGTTTTGTAGACAGCTCTGTGGAAGGGGAAGGCGGTATGCTTTTGTAGTTGTATGATCAACAGGATATGTAGATTTACAAAAAAAAAAATCGCAAACTAATCCGCACTACCTATAAATAGGTAGGATGTAGGTGCAGGTTTCAAGTAATTCCACTCCATTGAGAATTGCCCAAAATTAAAATAACAAAAGTATATAATATTTGCCATCTATATTACAGCTTAGTAAGTACAAAGGGAATTTGTCCCTCTAATCTTTAAATACATTTAATTATATGCTAAATTTTTAATATTTGCCCATATTTCCCAAAAGATGTGTTACATCACTTATTTGTGCCACTTTCACTTTTCTTATTCACTGAGTTAATGATGTAATCTATTCATTTCTGAACACATGTTTAGTAATATTGTGCAGCAAGAAAATGTAGTTTCCTGATCATCAACAAACTTGAAGGATCATGATAACACAAGCTAAAAATAAATTAAATAATTAATAATTTAATAGTCCTTGAAATAATATGCCCCATTTTCAATGTCAGTAAATACTATTGCCCTTTTACCATAATTTTATATTATCTTTACAATATGTTCCATTTATCTGTCAGCAGATTAGATATATAATGTAGTGTTCTTATCTTTCCTGCAACATTGTACTTTGACAATGTGAAGGTCAGCACATGTGTTTTGGTGTTTAATGTACAGCAAGATAATCCAGCTGCAGTCTCCAAAGACATCCAGTATTATTATATTTATGTAGCCTTCTTGGGGAGGAAACAATTTAGAACAGGGGGGCCATAAAGGTAGATCCCCAGATGTTTTAAAACTACAGCTCCCATGGCGCTTTGCCATTCTAAAGGCATGCACAGCATCATGGGGGTTATAGTTCCACAACGTCTGAGGAGTTATCTTTTGGGCACACTTGATTTAGAACAACATAAATAAAAGAATATGGATCATGAATAATATTAAATTGCTTGAGAGAAACAACAGATATTTCCAGCAAAAAAACAAAAAATTAAACTGGGATTTATTTTCTGTGGACTTTTATCTTCTCTCTTTTTTAAATTTTTAAATTCTTTATTTTTCCATAATCAGACAACATATCAATCCACAAAAAAAGCCTGGAAATTAACATGAATACAAAACATAAACTCGGCTATAAGGATAACTGTATTGACCATAGTAAAATCTAGTTTTATATAGAACGTATATTGTTGGTCGGTATGGGATCCTGGAAGGAACACTGCAATAACTAATGAAGTTTTAAAAGGGGTATACAGTGATAGTGAGAAAAATTACTGATACAGCTCCACAGGTTAAAGGGAAATGGGGGTGCTAATGTAATTGGAACTGGGGGGTGGATGGTATCATCGGAGCTAGTATTGCCAGGGCATTCCCAGTCTCGGCCAAGACAGGCCTCAAAATCACTGAGCATACCATGAACGCTGTAGGTAGAGTAAGTAGAGAACATAGATTCAACTAAAAATATAAGTGAAATCCGACAGTAAAAAGAGAAAAACATGGTACAAAAAACTCCAACAAAAAAGCAGTTAGGCTGGGAACCACCAGGTTAATTCCATCCCTGGCTGCCGGCACAAATGTGACTACATTAGCAGGATCCTAAGCTGTAATTGCTGATGGAGAAATGCAGCCCAGAACTAGCATAGTTAGGATGGTGTCCATCTCTGAGGCATCAGACACTTGGTACTCTTCATTTTGGTGTTGAATTAGAAGCATTGCTTCTAATTCGACACCAAAATGAAGAGTACCAAGTGTCTGATGTTTCTGTAGCTCTAGGATTTAAGCGGTGTGTGAAGTTGCGGTCTGCTCTGCTGCATCCAGAAGCACAGTGAACCTATGTATTTGTAATTTTTAAAAGGTTTCCAGAAATCAAAAAGAAAAAATGGTTTAATAAAAAGTGCACTATTTGATGTTGTTTTGTATGGGAAGATATCAGTATATTGGATCAAAGCATGCTACCAAACATAGGCAAACTTAGAATGACAATAACTTTAATTTTGACCTGATTCTCTAGATACTGGCCACTTCAAAAAGACTTGAAGTCTCTGAGTGCTTGTCTGAAAGGATATATGATTAAATAACACATAGACACTATAACCATTTGTAGCGGACCACCTGGTAACTCAACCGGTCACCTCCACTATTTCTCTTCCTTCAGCTGAACAGGAATCATTGAGGATATAAAGATCCACTTCCCCCCAGTAACTATATGACACACAGTTCTCGAGGCACAACAACAAGTTTATTGGCCACACACGGCTTTTAAGCATAACCCCCTGCAAGGGATGTAACACACAGCATACAATGTCCCCTCCCAGTGTCCTCCACCTCTCCGGGAAACTAGTGCATTAAAGGGCTTTGTCCCTTTGTCTCCATAAGCCTGCCACCCAAACACAGGGTTTCCCACATCCGGGGATGGGGGGAGGTCTTCATCCCATGAGCCTCTGTACCTGGGAGACCAAGCACGGGAAAAAGGGACCTTCCCTTTGTCTCCCAGGCACAGAGAGCCTGCCCGCGGGAAAAGACCTGGCCTCTTTGTCCCAACAGGCACTGCAAAGCTGCCAAACTCGCCAGTGCCCCAGAAGTGCCCACACAAATCTCAGGGACCCTTGCAGTTGTACCTTCCTTGACCAGGTTCTGTTCGCGAGGTCTCTGTGTGAAACCCTGTGTCAAGGTTGAGCTCCCCAACACGCAAACTAAAGGACAAGAAAGGCAACCCCAGATAATCTTATTACCGGTCTGTTACAAACTGCCATTTGTAACTGTTATTTTATTTGACAAATTGCCCTGCTTCCCTGTGTTATGGAGAAGCCTAATTGCCAGCCTTCTGCCCCATGACTATGGATCTAGTGTGTATGGCGATTTGACTGTATTTGTGGGATCTGAGCGCTGTTTGGATATATTGAGCGCTCAGATCCAAGCCATCTGGGGATAGGTTGAATGTTCTGTTCAGTTCAATAGGAGTTATGTATTTTTGTGTCTTTTTGTGTCTTTTGCTAACATGTGGTTAATGGAGTCTGCCTCTATCCCTGGATAATTGGATTACTTTCCCCATTGTCCAGGATAGAGGCCTCTGTAAAACCGGTTTGGGCCAGAAAACCATGCTGCCAGCCAGGCCCCAAAAGACACTTTTGCTAACTTTTGAACCCCTTGTCTGATTTGTGCCATTTTTTAATATGTTGCTCCCCTTAATGGATTGATTCCAAATATGTAATTTTTATGAAGATTGGATGTGTAGTTTGAAAGTTATAGTACATGTATAAAAACTGTATTTTTACTGCCTGTGTTTAATTATGTTAACCCATTGTGTGCCATAATTAGATCACAGGCAGAGGGGAGGATTTTTGTGTGTAATTGCTGGGAGTGTTTCTGTAATGTACGTTTATGATTGGTTATTCTGTAAACCCCTGTGGGTGGTCCTATCTCAGGGAAACCTGCATAAAAGAAGGCCCTTTGGTGCCAAGTAAACAGATCTTCTTGACCCTCAATACGTAGCCTTGTCTCGTTATTGGAGGGAACTGCTATATCACACTGGGGATTGCTATGCTCTGCATACTCCCCTGAGCTTTTAATCACTTAGCTCTTTTAAGAGCTGTTCCTGTTACGCTCTCCTGGAGGAGAGGTCTTCCCCACACGGTCCTGGAGGACAGAAGCTGATCCAGGGTGGAAGGAAGATGGCTAGACTCCAGTTAAGCCATGGCGGTTGTGGAGTCTGCGGTGGTTGTGGTGTCTGCTGCAGTGTTTGGAGTCCTCAGGAAGCGCTAGGAGCATCCATCAACGGAGGGTACTCGGTCGGAGTACAAAGAGCTCCGTTACACGGTCCTTAAAGTGGCCGGACTTAAAGTGGAGAAGAAATACAAAATAGGAACGTCAGACGAGCCAAAGTCAGGGTTATAGCAGGAAGCGTAATCGGAAAACAAAACCAAAGGTCAAGGAAGCCAGAGATAAGAATAACCAGAAGACAAGGCGAAGTCATATACCAAAGAGATACACGTTAACAGAACGCACTCTCGGGCTACAGTAAACCACGACAGGGCAAGGAAGTGATGTAAGAAGGAGGTATAAATAGGGCTAGGTAGGCTCCGATAGGATAGGGATAGAATAGGGTAGAATATAAATAGAGAGTAATACCTGGGTGCTGTCCCTTTAAGCATTTCGGGACACG